GAAAGAGGGATTCATGATTTCAGACTCATGATTTGGTGGTGGTAGAAGTTACATTGTTCAGGGCTGAACTTTGGCTAAAATTAGAGGCACGGGGTTGCTTGTCTCCTCTCTGATGTGCCCTTAGATTACAAAAACATTTAAGCAACCTTTACGTGGATGGGGGCAGGGAAGGTATTTCTGTGCCACTGAACTTTAGACTAACGTTGAGTCAAAGACTATTTGTAACCCTTTTCAAGTGCAGCCGTTCTGTTCTGGCATCAGACATCGGAAGCACTAGCTTCCTCTCCTTCCTGTGTAACTGCGTTGGCTTTCCCATGTCCAGCCACCGAGGCAGAGCTGAGGATTCCTCTACCCGCCTGGCAGCTTGGCTCTGTCTGTGACAGTTTGTGATCGCATTCAGACTGTAATAGTGCTGCCTCAACCTTTAATACAGCAAAAGTGGAGAATTTCTCTTATTTTCTCATGAACTCTCGCCTGTTTGTTTCTGCTGATGTGCTGTCATCCTCTGTCTGGGCTCGCAGATCTGGAGTCTCTTGGAAAAGTTCCTTTTTCCTCCTTTGTTCACATCCCAAATTTGGTCTAGATCCTAATGGCCCTTCATTTATAACATCTAAGGTCTGTACTATTTTTTTTCCCCTCTTCCATTAGTATCACTAATATCATTGTCCTGCCTTTGTCATCTTGTACCTGAGTTACTGCAGCCTTTTTCTTTGGCTTTCTATCTCGTCTCCTCGTGTTCCAGTTTTAGTACTGCGTTTCACGATGATGGAAGGTGATCTTTTCTTTCCTTTGTGGGTTTTGTTCTTTGCCTCTTCCACGCTCCTCACCCTGGAAGCAAATCTTTCTCTGAGGAATCCAGTTCTCTATCATTAGCCTCTCTGACCTTCAGAAAGTTTGTATATATTTAAGTGTAATTTGTTCCTCTTTGGAAAACAAACCAGTTCTCTGTATTTAACTCAAAATTTGGCAATAAGTCAGCAGCATGATCTCATATTTTTTGTGACTGCTTCAGGAAGAATGTTTTAAATGCAGTTAAGAGCTTTAACAGAGAAGTGTTTTGGTGTAGAACTATCTTTAAAAGGTTTGGGATGGCTGACTGTGAGGCACCTGTGTCTTTGTCTTTTCCATCCATCTGGACTTCGGTGTCGCAGTTTCTCTCCCGGGCCACAGTACGTGACCTGCGGTCTGCTGGGACCACTCATCTTGTCTGTGACCTTGCTCTTGGCGACCTCCTTTCCTGGAGAGGAGGAAGGCAGCCCAAGACCTAGATGTGGGCCAAATGAATTGTTTTGGAAATGGCAGCAGCCAGCTCTCAGCAGCTCCCTCTCTGAAAACACCCAGCGCTTTCCTTTGCCACGTCTGGGTGGGGGCAGGATTAAACCCCCTGGGAAAGCTGGTGGCCAGGAGCTGACTGCTGCTACTTCTGGAAAAGCTCATTCAGCCCAGCCTTTTGCCCTCGGAGGTCCTAAGATTTTTTTTTCACGAAGGAAAAAAAGAAAAAAGCCACGTAAACGATAGTCTGTGTATGCCCAGTGGACTCCATCTGGAATAGCTGCAGATCTTCCTCAAAGCCTGTGATCGAGGAAGAGTCGTGCTATGGCATCTGGATCACTCTTAACCACGGAGAAGAGCTGAGATGTGTCTGTCCACAAGGCTTGGTTGCTAATATTACGGATGTCTCTTTATGGAGCAGAGTAAATCATCCCATGCAAATCCCTGTACTACTCTACCCACTTGTTCTCTACCCAGCTCACATACGCCCATAGCCTGAAGTGTAAATACTCTAGTTCTTTCTGCATCTGCCTGGATATATTATCCTGCCTTTCTCTTTCCCATTGGTTAACAGTTTGACTTTTGGAGCACTTTCAGTCCATGTTAGTTTGTGGAGAAAGACATCAGCAGTGATAGCTAAAGAAAATTCTATTAGGTCATTCCTTTTCAGAACATAGTACCTGTCTTCTGAGCTCTTTGCGGATGTTCGCCAAATAATCCTTTTAATAGCTTTTGTGAGTTAAAAGGGTAGGTAACTGTCATAAGGCTAAATGATTGCATAGATTAATTTACTTGTGGCCAAAAGAAATCAATTGTAATTTAAATTTTTGTCTCTGGACTGATTACCAGACATCAACTTTCTCCTTAGGAATCTACCATGTGCATTGAAGTATATGTCTGTGATTATGTATGGGTCTGGATTAGTTACAGATTATCCAGAATAATGTGATTGAACCTTTCCAGGTTTTAACATATGGGTGTGCACAAGCTCAGAATACTCAGCCTTGTTTAGATCTGTAAAGTATCCATTTAGAACTTGAGTTGTTATAATTTATAGGCTGTTTGGATGTAAAAGATTATTTACCAGACTTTTAAGACCATGGGTTTGTTGCAAACCATGTCAAAGCTCCCGCTGAAGGCAAAGAAAGAGGGTGACGCTTTAATGATCCATTTAAAAAATAAAAATTGAAAGATGATATAAGAAAATTCAGTGCTTCTAGGGAGCATTTTTCTTAACCGTGGTTATATTTAGTGATTGGTATACATTTTACTGCCTTGTAGCAGAGGGATGGGTTGGGTGATTGAGAAGGATCCTGAAGGGGCTGTCTTGGTGGGTTTTTTAACGAGAAGTGATTTGGTGCTACTGCCTGGTGAAACCGCCGTAAAGTTGCCCTCTGTAAGGCGGTTGTATAATTGTACACCGGATAACAAGAAGTCAGAATGTATTTGCCTTTCACAGAGATCTCTTAACGGTTTTGTATGTTTTAATTGTGTCTTACAGAATGGTGAATAACATTGAAGACCCTCAAGAGGCTTTATAACGTCCCATCCCCATGTAAAGTATGCTCAGAACTTTTCCAGTAGTGTAAGTACAAGCTAAAAAAACCCACAAAAATTAATTGTTTGGTGGGGTTTTTTCTATTAATTTGTCTAAAAAGAGCAGAGAAATGGTTACAGTGATTATCAACAGTTGGCTAAATTGGAGGGAGTTCCAGTGGTTTGGTATTTGCTAGACGTTTAAACATTTACTGCCTTACTTGGTCTGGCTTATGTGTTATTTCTACTTCTACTTTTGTGTCACTGAAAGAGAAGGAAAATGATGCAGTTCTTAGAAACTCAGCCTGGATCAGCAAAAAGGTAACGTTAAAAGAGAATCTCCATACATCTTCTGAACGTATGAGAGGGATACCAGAGCTGTGCAAGAGAGTTTAGCACCATTACAGACTTGGTGAACGGGGATGAGCACACCATTAACATGGTATTAGATAACAAAGGCAGAAAGGTAGGGCACCTAACCTAACGTTAGAATTGGATGTATTGGTCCAAGCAACCACTGCTGTACCTTGAATCCCAGTACAAATTGAAGTTGTCCAAATCTCATTTTTGAATTTGAGCCTATTAGTTTGTTCTTTTAAATGACTTCTGTCATGAATCTTCAATGTAATTGTTATCCATGCTATTCCTTCAGTAAATAAGCAAATGAATTCAAAGTTTGAAGCTTGTCAGGCTGAAAGGAAAGGCTTGACCTGTTCCGTGCTGTCATCCATCTCTCTCACTGGCCCATCCTATATCACTGTTCCCCATCCCTCTTTAATAGGCACGACCAAAAGCTTGTCCACTGGCAATCAGCTTCTTGAGATACTTTGACCTCTTGACTTTTGATTGCACCTTCTGTCAGACTGAGTTGGAAAGAGAAATCCTGTCTACGGGACAGGTAGCAAGAAACTGGGCTCCTGTGAATGCAATCGTATTTTCCCAGATGGATTATTTCAGGGATGAAGATTATTAGTGCAAGTGGCATGCAGTCGCAGGCTTCTGTAGAGGGAGTCGCAGCAAAAAGTAACGACTGCCAGGGGTTTTGTGTTGGAAACTAAACTACCGATGTATTTCAAAAAGACTTCTTGATACAACCATTAATTAGTTATTTTCTAGTGCTGGTGGCTTGTCTTCTATTCAAAACTAGTGGTTTCCTACTTCATTACCAGTCCCCTGAGCCACCTCATCTTCTTTCTTTTAGCTAGAAATATGTTGGATTTCAGTATTAAAATCACCACTTGAAATTGTAAAGATCTAGTTCACAGTAGGAAAGAATTCTGGAGGTAAGGCCACGCTGCCCTGTGCATCTTTATTGTACTGGTAATTCAGAGCGTGCAGAGTGATCTTAGAGCTTCTCTGTGCTTTGTGCGAGCACAAGGACGGTCTGTCAGCTTTAACTTTGAATCAGACTTTTACCATAAATTTCCAAACTCTGCATTATATCATTTTAATTTCCTGTTCTTTAGCTAGATTTCAGTCATGTTCTGCCCCTTTGCTGTTTTAGTTGGGTATCATGTTGTTCTGTTGCTTTCTGGAATCATCGTGGCACATTGATGTGCCCGGTTAATCAGCTGCCACTAGAGGAGTAGCAGCTTTTTCGATTTATTCCAGTATGTGTGCAGTTAATATGGTCATCGAGAATGCAATATAAGTATAGGTGAATAATTTTTGACTGAGTGAAAGCTGGGGTGAACCTATTTGGAGCGGATTAGAGAGTATTAAATTAGAGGGAAATGAGCCAAGATGACCCAGTTAGGTATAAAGTTTCCAGATTAAAGCGTAGATATCTTTTAAAAAAAGGTGGGCATTGTGGGTTTGGAAGGGGAAAGAAGAAAACAGAGTCTTTAGAAAACCTAAAAGTTTTAACTTAAATACCAAATAAGATTAAAATTTAACTCTTAAACCTACCATGGTTAAAGTAGTTTGGTTACCCCTACCATGGGGCATCATAGAATCGTAGACTCCCAGACTGGTTTGGGTGGGAAGGGACCTCCCAGCCCATCCAGTTCCAACGCCCTGCCATGG